TGTTATTCTCATCTGGATAAGGTCCAGGAGCTGTCGTAACTCACAGAGATCATGTTTGCTTAAGTTTGGAAGACCACATCAACTATGTAGGAAGATAGGTGATTGCTTGGTGTATGATTAGAGAGATGTCATGATACCTACTCATACTTGAATATTCATGATAAAGAGTTTATTTTGATAATGGTGGTTGGCCCTGCTGCAGGACCCTGAGAACAAGCAGCTCCTTAAATTGTGCACTCTGAGTGCGGTACCTGCCTCACCCTAGTCCTGGCCCTGGTCTTCTAAAAGCCCTGCAGAACCAGCATTTAATTCCCAGTCCTCCTTCAATAATACTTAAGGGAGGGGGCGGGGCTGGGGTGGCCCAAACAATGTGTACACATGTGAGTAAATGTAAAAATGATAAAATAAAAAAGGGAAAAAAATACTTAAGGAATACACAGACTTGGGGGTTTTAACGCCCTTTTCATTCAAGTTTTTACCAGTTGACCTTTTTGCCACTTGGAATAAATACAAGTGTAAAATTCTTCGACCTGTGATGTCTGTAGAACATTCAACTTTGATATGACACAACTACTGTATTTCAGGTAAGGACTACACATAAATAAGGACTATGTCAGTCTAGCTCTAATCCTAGGGCCCAGCATGCATGCTCACTAATGGTTAAATGGAAAGATGGACAGGTGGGTGGATGGGTGGATGGGTGGGTGGGTGGATGGGTGGATGGGTGGACAGATAATGAATAGATAGAATGGATAAACAGATGGGTGGCTAGCTGAGGCCACTTATGTGCGAAAAGCCTAGATGGATCTAGGCTGAGGATACTTGTGTATGTTGTACAAACTTCAAGTTTGTTGGTTTCTAATCTGCCCTGGTAATATCATAAAAGCAGAAGGAATTCTTAGGAGGAACAATATTTATTGTCATTTTAGTTCTGCCAAGACCCAAGGCAAAATTCCAAAAGACACAATCTTTCTTTCCTTTCTAAATCCCTCTTCTGTGTCCTCCACACACAGATTCCTTCACGCCACCTCAGTCTCCAAATTCCTTCATCCTAGACCAACTCTCCAGAGTACCCATAGAGACCCCTATTACCAGGGAGTCTTGTTAGTTAATTCAATTCACACTAAGGTATGAATGTAGATTAACCTTTCTGCAGCATTAGTAAATAAGGTTATACTAACTCAAATAGTTTCAGTTGGTAGATGGGCAAGGAGATACTTTCCAGTGAAGAGATTTAAACAGCCACCCTACCCTCCATCTATCCTAGGGACTGTCTTCTACCTTTGTAGCCCCAGACCCCTTACACCTGCCCCAACCCCCATTCACAAGCATTGCCACATGTCATAGCACTCAAGAAGACATCATGCATGGCTTGTCTTACAAATATATGAATGGTGACGGTACCCTGCCATATGTGTGTAGGTACGTTTAATACTACACATTTTATTGTGCAATGTTTATATTTAGGCACAATTATAAACATCAAATCATAGCAGCTAATATGTGTATATTAATACGACTTTCTCCTTAAACCTCTGATCTTTCTATCTCCCCCTCACTCGTATCATTTGGTCAGACAAAGGACAGCTCTTCAATATGAGCCTTCAGCAACAGCAGTCTCTCCCCCTTCCTTCCTGCTACCATGACACAGGCACTTCCCACCCACTGGAAGCCAATTCACTTTCCCTTCCCTCACCGGGGTCCTATTTCACACCTTCTCCAGGTGCTTGGTCTCTTAGGTTGTCTCCTTTCCCTCATTCCTTCCCTAGTTCCCTTCTCTGACTCCTACTACAACACAGACATGCTATAGTTTTCCCAGCCTTAAACACTAACCTTTCTCTCAACCCTAGGATTCCCCTCCTGTAGTTGTAGCCTTAGCTCTAACCACTCAAACTCCACTAAAAAGTGGTGCATGCCCAGTCTCCACTCTTAGAGGTTCTACCACCCACAGTGCCATTGCAAAGGTCCTTAATGGGGTGGTTGCTACTTCCCACTGATTCCTTTCCGTTCTTGTCCTACCTGACCATTATCCTACCTCTTGACCCATCTCTACTTGAAACACCACTGTTTCTAGTAGCTTCCAGAATACCATTTCTTTCTCCCCTCTATTTACCAGTCCCATGGTCCCAATTCCTTGCAGCTAAGTTGGATGCAGCTGGTCATGGCTTCACGTGCAATCATCAAAGCAATCATCACACTTTTTCAATGTTGTTCATTCTATTTTATGTCTTCCTTGCCAGACCCTAAGATCTCTGAGGACAGGGCGTCTGCATCCTGCAGTCAGAGTAACCTGGAGTCCAGGGGAAGGTATGGCATAGAGAAACTTGATTTTAAAACTTATACATGTAAATAAATTTACATAAAAATTAATCCCTATTCCACAAACACAGAAATCACACAGTCAAGGAAGCTAAGTCAGGGCAGATGATAGACTCATCCAACATCCTTTGACTTCAAGGTTAGTGCCCTTTCCAAACTCCTGGTTTTCAAACCCATAGACTTCCTTTGAGGAAGTGCCTCAACCTATATTCTTCTGTGAAAGATTCGCTACTCCCATCTTGACCATCCTTTGATACAATCCACGTTCAAGCCATCCAGTATCCTGACCAAAGCACAGTCACAGGGATCAGCCATGCACATAACTAAAGGAAGCTGAAGCCGCTCTACCAAGCAGAATTCCAAAAGTACATAAATGAATATTCTTTATTCTGATCTAGACTGAGCCACAGAAAATGGAAAACTTATAATATGAATTGCATTTTAATGAAGAAATCCCAACACTGTTTTTGAGGGAACGGGCTGCTTCAGAAAACAAATTCCTAAGTCATTTAAAATCCATCACTTGAGAAGCAATGCAGATAAGCAACAAATTCCAAATGAACCACGGACCTGCCACTCTTCATTTGTCTACTCAGTTTCATGTACATTAATTATGCTTAATTCCTACATCAGTATGTGTTATTCTTTCTTACAATAAAGTTTGTTAGTTCTAAATTTTTTGGTCCCTAGCTGGAGCATCTATGAAAACACTTCTCAATTTATTCTTCTGTCAATTTGAGAAAGAAGATTAAATATGTACAAGAAGTGAATAGGGACATATATTTATTATCAAACATCATTGTTATAGGATTTATATAAAAATAAAGCTGAAAGCCTGGTATGGTGGAAACTGAGGCATGAGGATTGTGAGTTTGAAGCCAGCCTAGGCTACATAACTAAATTGAGAAATAATTCTTTGCATGGGAAGCTAATACCATTACAATCCACGTGGAAATTCTGTATAAATATCTGACTGACTGATCTAAGCAAGACCCCACAGTTCCAAGCCTACATTCAGACATTGCTTGTCCTCAAAATCGTTTTAGCTTCTAGGTTGGTGTTTAGGCCTCTTTTTTTGCTTTGTAAGAAACAGAATCAAACCATGTTCCTTGGTGAGTACCACTCTCACCTCCAGCCCACAGCCTCCCTGCCCTCTCAGCCACATCACACTGTAGTTTTCCTGAAGACTGAACAAGCCCTAGTATACCTTGCTCTCTGCATCCCTTGGTGGCCAGGACTTGATCGGGGCCCTTTCCATGTGCTCTCAGCCCAAGCTCACCAGTGTTAACAACAAATATTGAACAGGCTTCACTCTCTTTTGGTCTAAGACTAAGTTCACGTATTACTGACTGACAAGGTCCCTTTACCCCAACCTAGACACGTAAGTGGAATACATGTTTAATTTGAGGCAAACTATCTGACCTATCCTCTTTATAAACCAATTTATGTTGTCCAGCCGATCATCTGAATTGCCTCCCTTTACCTGCAAGATAAGAAATGGATAACATGAAACCCCTTATTTCCATCTACTTTATCTACTTTTCACAAAGCTGTCACTTGAACTTCTTTCAACGCAAGCATTATGACTTTCATTTAAAGCTACAAAGCAACTCAAAGGCCCAAGACACTCACATGACACTTAGATCACCCATATTCCCCCCCTCAGGGTGTTGGGTTTCTGTTCAAGCTGAGATGTTTTCCCATACACTTCCAGGCATCCCTGAAAGTTACCTGTGCTGTCTGCCAAGTCAGGACTCTAAGTGGCTGCAGAACCCACCCAGAGCTAGAGGCTGGGCTCTGGTGTGCAACAGCACTTTCTGTCAGTTCATAATTCAAGACTCACTCCACACTTCAGTTCTCCTCAAGGAGCAGCTGAAGGAACTTCTAGTCCCTTCCCCCATAGAGAATCCCTCATAGGAACTGAAATAACACTTCCTTGTGCTCTGTTCTTCTCTTGCAAATGCAGACTTTCTGTAAGTCACAGACATACCCACTTGTTTCATCTGGACCAATAACCACCACCCCCCCCACACACACACACACAAGCACACCCTGTGGACCTATTATGTGCTCTGTCTTCAGCACTTCATTACCCCAGGATACTTAAGTTAAGGAAAGGAACGTGCAGCGTCTCTAGTGGATAGCTACATGTCTCATTCACATTTTTCCCAGGATATTCATATTACTGCTACACTTCTCAAATCTGCAACCCTGTTAGGATTCAGTCATGGGGAACTGAGGACAACAGGGCCTGATCTCCCACTCTTTCAGGGTTGTCCACCAAAACTCAAAAAAAGTTGAGAGAAAAAGGAAAGTCAAAAATAAAGTCGGTATTAAGCATTTTTTGGTATCCTTCAGACCCAAACACTACTACAGAGGCTTATGATCTTCCCCTTTTCCATCAGGAGCAGCACCGCGAGTACAGATGCGGACAGGTGAGCCCCAGGTGCCTTAGTCCTAGTTTGGAATTAACACCTGGACGCGGAATCTCGTCTTAAGGGAGACAGACACCAAAAAAGAAAAGAAAAAGATAACGCCGAAAGTAGAAGAAAGTCCCAGTCACCCAAAACATCCTGGTCTCTCAGTAGTCACCCGAACGCGGTGCCGAGCCCCAGCAGGAGAGGCCTGACCTCGTGCCCTCCCGCTGTGCGCCCCAGGCCGCCGGGGCGGCGCCTCCTTACCTTGCGGGAGTACGGGGGCTTGCTCAGGTGGATTCCATCGCGGACAAGCTTATCCCTGATCATGATCTTCAGCTTCAGTTTGGGGTAGCTCACTAGCTCCCTGTTGCGGGGGACTGCCGTCTGGCCGCGGGGGTCCCCGCGAGTGCCCTGGGCCAGGCCGCCGCACGGCTCCCCCCGGCGGCCTGGGGGCATGGCATCCGCTGGGGGCGCGGGGGACGCCGGCTGCGGCTCGAGAGTGAAGTAGAGGCCGGCGGCGGCGGCGTCCTGCTCCCGCAGCCGACGCACAGCCTCCAGGATGCGGCGGCGGTGCGCGGGCGCCAGCACCCCGATGGCGTCCAGGTCCGGGTCCCCGATCTGTTTGCACACTTCCAGGTCATCGTAGCCGTTATCCACGAAGGACTCGGCGTACTGAGGAGCTGCAGCGCTTTCAGCCACTCGTAAACTATGTTGGTGCACATGGTGGGACTGGAAACACCTTCTCAGCGCCCAAGCGGCACGGGCTGCACCAGTTGGAAGAACTTTTAATCCTCTCCTCGGAGGAGAAAAAGAAATCGCAGTAAAGTTTCCCTGTTAAGGAAAAGGATCCGACAGACCGAGAGCCATCAGAAGCAGCCGGAGAGACGGAGAAGCGTCAAAGCAGCAAAGTGAATTCCCCGCGCAGCGGCGGAGCTCGCAGGCACTGGCGCCGGGCGAGCCGCTCCGCTCGGCTCCGCGCCGCCCCTGGATGCGCCGCCGCCGCGGGGAGGGGCGCGCGAGGGGCGGAGGCGGGCGGGGCCGGGCACACCCCGCGCACCCGCGCCGGTCAGCACCGCGCCGCGCCGCCCGGGCCTCTCCCCAGCCGGGACAGTCGCGGGACTGCGCGCAGCATCTCGCGTTCCAGCCGCCGCCGCGGGCGTCTGCACGCGCGCCCCACGCTGGGGAGGTGGCTCGTCCGCGCAGAGCCGCTGCCTTCTCAGAGCACCGCGTCTTCCGGAGTGACAGTCACTGCCGTCCTCCGGTTGGCTTTTATGCTGCCAGGCGTCGGTGGCTGCCCTGGATTTTTTTCTCACTTTTTTTTTTTTTTAATCCGACTTCTCTAGCCCGTGGAAGTCTCTGCGCTCACTTCTTTCCGAGCCTGATTCCAACCTGTAAGCGCCCAAGGGCACGTCCCTGCCACCCCAGAGGGCTAGGCGGGGACGCGAGGTCAAGTGTCCCTTCTCCCTTCCTGATGCACGTTGAGTTCCCTTGTCCTTGGAGCCCGCTCGCAGGCTGGAGCCCAGTGACCTGGCTGCTTCTGTGGTCGCTAGCTTTGCGCTCCGAGTGGTGGCGCTTTGGCGGGCGGGTGGGCGCGACGTGGGGACCGCCCGTGTCCAGCCGGCGCTGCGCGCAGCCCCTCCTAACTACAGTTAGGCACGCAGGGCAACGCGAAAGGCTGCTGCTGCTTGACTCGCCCTTCCTAGGTCCCCTGATCAGCGAAAGTTTGGGATGGGTGTACTTTCTCCTCGGCTAGGCTGGTACCCTACTCTGCTTTCTACCGGGTCCCCTCATTCTCGTCTGCCCTGTGTTTTCCCTGTCCAGGGACCCTCGGTGGCTCTGCCCCCAGGGGCACGCGAGGCGTCCAGTCCAAGAGATCCGGGGTCAGAGCAGACCCTCCCTTCTCTGGCCCGAGGATCGCGTGAAAATCCGTAACCTCGCCCTGCAGCTCGCATTCGGGGCCACTGGCACAGTAGCAGTTTCTCTCTAGAGAGGAACAAAATCAACCGAGTTTCCCCATCGTGCCAATGCCTCAGCAACCGTTTGGGACTGGGGACCCGAGGGCCTGGACAGCGTTTCTCTGAGTCTGACCTCTTCTTGGGACTAAGGAAGAGGAACCTTGGAGGCAGGCACAGTCTACTTCCTTTTCGCAGACATGCAATTCAGCTTCACACTTGGGCTATTTCAGTACCTGACCTGGACCCTTTTTCTCGTGGGGCGTGCCAGACTCTCACCCCATACTGAGAGGAAGGCACGTATTGGTTTCAGAGTCGTTTCCCAATCTGTTGGGAAAGGTGAGGGTCAGGAAGGTGTGTGTGTGGGGTGGGGGTCTCTTCTTAAATTAGAAGAACGTAAGCTCCTCTTGGGTCTCGGACCCTATGAAGATCAGATGGCAGCTTTTTCCTTTTAGACCTGGAAAATACCCCATGTAAAAGCGCCCTACAGTTGCAAGGTGTTTCCGGGTTCCCAAGAATCTCAAATTAAAAACAGCTGTCAGAAAGGACCATATAAACTGGAAAAGGGAAGAGAAGAACGCGAGTGGCTGTGGGGCTGCGTACAGCCCCAGCCAGGGGTTACCCAGGTCGCCCTTTCCAAGCCCTAGTTAAGGTCGCAGATCCTGGTAGGCTGCGATGCGCCTGGGCGTTGGGCTGCTGGATGCACGCAGCCCTCCCCGCCCGCGTGGGTCACCGTCTCTCCCTCGCCAAAGCAGACCCACAGTGTCCCCTAGCGTCAACGCCAGCGAATTTTAAGGCGTTGCCCAAGTTCCCCAAACTCGTTTTTGTTCAGCAGAAAGAAGTGGCTTTCACTGGTACACTGCCACCTTTCTAAAGTACAAATGTTGACATCGTTTTTATCTTTGTATCCAGCGCTCTCTCATAAAGACCGTTTGCATTGTAAAAGGAAATATTCCGGTAGATTGAATTATGCTGCTAAGAAGCAGAAGTCATCAGCAAATATTTACTAGGAAGTTAGTCCATGACGGGCATGAGTACAGGTTTGAACACATATGGCAAGTACTATGACACACATATGACATCCATTGACTTGCAGAAGAAGCACTCGAGTCACTGAAACAGTAACTTGCTCATTTGTTCACAGTGAGCAAGGGTCAGCCCTGTGCAGTACGTAATGAACTCAGGGTCAGGCTGCCAGCCAGGAGCCTTCAAGGTCTCCTACACAGCCGGCAGGAAAAGTTGGGCTAGTTGAACAAGCGTAGTCCTGTTTTGCTTTGTTTGTTTTGTGACCGGTAAGCTTGAAGCACTAGAGGATTCATTGTCGTGAAAGTGCAGCACACTAACTTAGGAGTTCTTTGCCTTCTTATTTATACACAGCCTTTTCCCCTTTGGAAGCTTCAAGACATTCATCTTGTCTCATCAGTCTTCAGCGAAGGCAGTGAGTATTTTTATTTCCATTTTACAATTAGGGAAAGCGGCTTGGAGGAAGATGAATGACTTGCCCAAGGTCATATAGTAAATCAGGCCAGAGACAAGAACAAGCCTGTCTTGTCACATGCTCTCCGGGACAGACAGGCAGCAGCGATTCACCTTTATTTATGGGCAGAGCACCATCCAATTAGGAAATAAATCGGCCTGTGCTCTCTTGGAGGGAAGGCTTTCATAAATTAATCATTTGTTAATCAGTCATAAATAAAACCTACTCACTTTTGACCTCTCTCATAAACTTGCTATATGGAGACTTCACTTGTCTGAGTTGGGGAAACATTTTTTCCTCCACATACTCCTTCTGCCTCTCTTGTACACTTCTCCATGCTTCTGTGTGTGAACCTGCAGGGCTTCTTCTGTCTTTGTACTGCTTGCCTATTGATTTCCATAATAAATTTCATTCTAGAGGCCACTGTGTGTAATCACAAATGCAGAACTGCAGCCTGAATGTGTCACGAGATGAAAGTCCAAAATAAAACTGGCAAGAACAATTATGGGCTAATTTTAAGATTTAGAGGGCTTTTCAAGCTAGAAGGCCTTTCAATATCACCTCCAGCATCCAAATTTACATAGAGTAAGCAACAGTTCTGGAAGGTCAAGTTCCTAATGTCACATAGCTAGCATGTGACAACTGGGACAAACACCCAGATGTTCCTCACATTGCTTTTTGTATCACCTCGTTTTTGCTGTGAGTGCCTGGCTGCTGTCAAACTCGTTCATTTACTCATCAAATGTTTATTAAGGAGACACTTCAGTACCAGACAGTAAAGCAAAAAATAAATAAAAGAGAGTATTTCTTCATTAATTGGAACTGGAAAGATTTCAGCATTATAATATGCAAAGGGTAAAGCAACAGTTTTTGATATGTTACTTCATGAATTGTGAATTGCTATTATCCAAATTTTGACAATCATAACATTGGCCAAAATTTGAAATTACATTTTATTTGACATCCAGACAAAAATGTACTTAAAAAAATAAGTAGCTATTATTCTCCTACTGACAGTCCTAGAACACTAATTTATCCAGCACACATTGTCAAATACCTTTCATTTTTAGAATGTATTTGTGAGTGATAGTGGTTTATTGGAGTGTTTTTTCTGAACAAAAATTTACATGTCCATTATTATTTAATATATTGGGGACCATTCTTCTTTTTTCTCAGAAGGACTCCTTCCATAATGAAAATTCCTGGGAAAATAGGTTGTGGAGGAAGTTTCTTTTTAAGCATTGTTTTAGAACTATGTTGCAGTGACAATAACTAGCAAAATGCAAAGTTAGCACTGATACTCTCAGTGCACTTAATTAATGATAATTATATTCAGGCTTTAAATTCTAAATATAAAAAACAGCTTTTCTGCTTTGCTCAGTAACTCAGTTTAAGGTTAGAGAGGGAAAATAGTTTGTTTTGAAATTCTTGGCGATACATAAGGCTTCATACAAATTTATTTAAAAGACAAATGTTTGCACCTAGCGTGTGTAAAGATTAAATTCCATTAACATCTATTAAACATCAGTCCCCAGGGTGTCTAGCTTTGTAAAAGTCAAGAATATATAATATTAACCTTAAAATGTTAAATACACCTTGCCAGTGCTTAAGCCATGAGCTAAAAAGCATCTAGAAGGAAGAATGGCACGGGGAGAAATGAGAAGAAAGGGTTTAATTGACTAAGGGGCAGTCTGTTCTCCAGCGTCTGGGAAGGAGGCATGGTTGGCACCTTAATTGGGGCAGGCCAGGTAGGGGTGACTGGGCTGTAGATGTTATACTTGTGTGTGAGGACACATGTGTGAGAGAAGGAGAGACAAGGAGCAGTAGGGAGTACCAGCAGGAAGTCATTAGATTATTCATTGCTATTATAACAGCCTTTCTTTCTTTAAAGAAGGAACAAAGGGATAAAATGGGTGGTCTACAGGTCATTGACTTAGAAGTCACTAATAGAAAGAGCAAATAAGAGACAATATGAGTGAGAGAAAATAAAATGAGACCTATTAAAAAGCATTCTATCCTCTTATCTCCAGTAATCTCTAAACATTCTGTATTTTGATGCACTGAAATATTAATGGAGTCTTTCCGGGGTAAAAAATGGTAGGTGCCATATTTTGTTAGGGAAGGATGATATGGCCAGTGTCTAGGGGAACTTTTTTGTTTTTGTTGTTGTTACTTTGTTTCAATCTAAGTCAGAAAGGTTAACTTGGCAGTTAAAAGTGAGGCTATATAACTTCACACAAGTGAAATGGCATTCATAGAGCTATTTCAGACAAGTGCAAAATACTGAAATATG